CGCGCCTGCACTGCGGTGGCCGGGGAGGTGAGCAGGAGGGTCCGGTTCGGGGCGCGTGTTGAAGCTGGAGTTGCTGACGGTCCGATGTGGGGAGGGAGACAGGCCGAGTCAGGGCGGGGTGAGCAGAGGAGAAGAGTGGGGGAGGGTGTGCAGGGAGGAGGGACCACGAACCCGGGGACCAGATCCCACACACACGTTCCAACGGGGGCTCCTGGCACAGAGGGACACCTGACCCAGGGCACCTGTCACAGGGCGGGCACAGGGCAGGGAGCACCTAGCTTACCAGGAATGTGGCCTAAGACGCTGCCCCCGTCCCCCAGGGCCCCGGCGTGTAGTCCACTCTTTGTCCTCTCGGATTAGGGGCTAAGGTGACCTGCCTCCCTCCCTAATGTGCCTGGACCGCCCTGGCCGGGTTGCTCAGTGGATAGAGCCCCGGCCCTCGGACTGAAGGGTCCCGGGTTCTGTATCTCGGATTAGGAACCAGCTGTGTCCAGCGTCCCTCCCACACCGGCCTGAACCTACAAGTTCTCTGAGGTCAGACTCAGCTGAGCTAGAGCTGCATCGCCAGGCCCTCCCGTAATAAGCCCGTTTAGAGCCGGGATCTTAAAAACCAACATAGAAGAGGGTTCCTGGGGGAAAGAAATACATAGGCCCTGAGAAGGAGTTGGCGGGAAACTTGTTCAGACTGTCGCTCAAAAATGACAAACCAACCCTGGCCGGTGTGGCTCAGTGGATAGAGCGTCGGCCTGCGGACTCAGGGGTCCCGGGTTCGACTGTGGTCAAGGGCGTGTGCCTTGGTTGCAGGCACATCCCCAGTGGGGGGCATGCAGGAGGCAGCTGATCGATGTTTCTCTCCCATCGATGTTTCTAACTCTCTATCCCTCTCCCTTCCTCTCTATGAAAAATCAAAATACATTTTTAAAAAAGAAATAGCCGAAGCCTAGCCGGCGTGGCTCCATAGCTGAGCGTCAACCCAGAAACCCAGAGGTCAGGGTTCGATTCCCGGTCAGGGCACATGCCCGGGTTGCAGGCTCCATCCCCAGGGTGGGCCGTGCAGGAGGCAGCCAATCCAGGATGTTTTTCTCTCACCCATGTTTCTGTCTCTCTTCCTCTCCCTTCCTCTCTCTCTAAAAGTCAACTTAAACGTTATTTTAAAAAATAATAAGTTTAAAAACAGCCATATAAGAGAATTCAGTGGGGATGGAACCACAAGTATAGAAGCCCTCCAGAGGGATGAGAAGGGAGAGGGAGTCAAAGAGAAACATCCATGATGAGAGAGAATCATGGACCGGCTGCCTCCTGCACGCCCCACACTGGGGATCGAGCCGGCAATCTGGGCAGGTGCCCTTGACCGGGAATTGAACCCGACCTCCTGGCTCATAGGTCGGCGCTCAACCACTGAGCCACGCCGGCCAGCTTCCCTCCCCGATGCACCAGAACTTACAGAACTAAGTAAAGTCATTCTTGTCTGAGCCGGCTGCATTGCCGGGTTCTCCAACAATAAGCCATCCCAGAGCCAGGATAAAGGAAACAGCCCCATGAAGGGCTCAGAAGGGGAAGCAGTAAGTGCAAAGGCCCTGGGGTACGTCACCGGATCCCCCCCCTCCCCCAATGACCCACTGCTTTCCTAAGGCTCCTGGGAACTCATCGAGGCTCTGAGCAAAGTCCAAGACTCTGGTCCTCTTACCCAACAGCATTTGTAAAAAGCAGGTCGATGGCGCCACCTTGTGGACACAAGCGAAATGCAGCCGTCAGAACAGGGACTGTTGTCTGTGTTCTCAGGTTGGGGGGGAGCTGTGTCCTATTTCTCTCTCAGACGAGCCAGAATTCACAGCAATAACTGAAGTCGGTGTTCCCCGAGCCAGCTGCGGTGCCCTGTCCTCCAGAAATAAGCCATTCCAGACCCATTATTAACGAAAACGGCCGCATATAGAGCGTCGAGGGGCACTCACAGGACGTGCAAAGGTCCTGAGGCAGAAATGAAGTCAGTTTCTTCTGTGGGTGGACAGGGCTGGTGGTCGGATGGACCAGGAGCCGGTTGATGAACTAGGGACGTCTCCTGTACGCCCATCTTCCTCCCCCTGCTGCTGTCTCTGCCTCCCACGTTTCAGACTTTTAAATCCCAGCGGCCTGCGTCTTAGCTGTTCACCTCCATCTCCTTTTCTCTGACACATCGCCCGCCTCCTGGGCTGTGGGTGATAAAGTGAGATCGAACCTCTCCGTGCCCAGCACACTGGGCTCCTTCCTGCTCCCGACCCCTTTGTTGGGGGACCCTGCTGAGAATTGGGGGGTGCCAGGCTTTCTCCCCAGACCTGGCTGGGCCCGGCACCCCTCCCTCCCGGGGCGGCCGCCCGAGC